AGGTTGGAGCAGAATAATTGCTTGAAGCCAGGAGCTGGAGATTGCAGTGACCAGAGACTGTGCTACTGCACTCCAGCCTAGGTTACAAAGCAATACTCTGTCTCAAAAACAAAACTATATATATAGTTTCTGTATATATATATATATATTCTGAAACTATATATATATATATCAGAAACTTTGAGACAGAGTTTCGTTCTTGTTGCCCAGGCTGGAGTGCAATGGCATGATCTCAGCTCACAGCAACCTCCACCTCCTGGGTTCAAGCAATTCTCTTGCCTCAGCCTCCTGAGTAGCTGGGATTACAGGCATATGCCACCACGCTAGGCTAATTTTTTTTTTAATTTTGTATTTTTAGTAGAGACAGGATTAATCCATGTTGATCGGGCTGGTCTCGAACTCCCGACCTCAGGTGATCTGCCTGCCTTGGCCTCCCAAAATGTTAGGATTACAGGCATGAGCCACGTGCCCAACGTGTTTTTTGTTTTTTCTTGAGACAGAGTCTTGCTCTGTCTTGCCCAGGCTGGAGAGTGTGTGGTGCTATCTTGCCTTACCACAGCCTCTGCCTCCCAGGTTTAAGCGATTCACCTGTCTCAGCCCCCAAATAGCTGGGACTATGGGTGTGTGTCACACACCTGGCTAATTTTGTATTTTTAGTAGAGATGGGGTTTTACCATATTGTCCAAGCTGGTCTGGAACTCCTGGCTTTAAGTAATCCACTGGCCTCAGCTTCCCAAAGTTCTGAAATTACAGGCATCAGCCACTGCGCCTGACCTGTACACGTTTTTTTGGTGTGTATATGTTTCAGTTTCTTCTTGGCACAAATTTAGGAGTTGAATTGCTGGGTCATATGCTAACTCTGGAACTGCCAGATTGTTTTCCAAAGTGGCTGCACCATTTTACAGTCTAACTAGCAATGCTCGACGGTTTTAATTTCTCCACATATTTGTTAACACTTTTTAGTATTTGCTTTTTCATTGTCATTGTTTTTTAGCTCTTACTGGATGTGAAGGGGGTTTTCATTTAAGAAATTATTCATACTTATTTGTTTTATTTTTAAAGTAATTTTTTTTTTAAAGACAAGGTTTTGCTCTATTACCCTGACTGGAGTACAGTGGCACAATCATAGCTCACTGCAGCCTGGACCTTCAGGGCTGAAGTGATCCTCCTGCCTCAGCTTTCTGGGTAGCTGGGACCATAGGCACATGCCACCTTGCCCAGCTTTTTTTCTTTTTTTTTTTTTGTAGAGATGGAGTCTTGAACTCCTGGGCTCAAGTGATCCTCCTACCTCGGCCTTCCAAAGTGCTGGGAGGAGCCACAACTCCCGGCTAAGATTTTTCATCTTGAACCATGTCTCTTGCTTTTGTGTCTCATGTCTCTTGCTGTTCTGCTGTCATTCAGTCAACCAAATAACCAATTATTGATCAGTCAACATTTGAACAATTACCTATGTCCTGGACTATATGTTCTCTGGAGGATTCAAAGGTTAATGTCCCTTACTTTGAGGATCTACTCTCTCTACACAAAACACATAGTAAAGTTAATCACACAAAGCAACCTAGGGTAACAAAATTCTTTTTCTTTTAGACAGGTTCTCACTCTGTCGTCCAGGCTGGAGTGCAGTGGCGTGATCACGGCTCATTGCAGCCTGGACGTCCCAGGCTCAAGCAATCCTCTCACCTCAGCCTCCCAAGTAGCCGGGACTACAGGCACACGCCACCACCATACCCGCCTAATTTCTAAAATTTTTTGTAGATTCGGGGGTCTCACCATGTTGGCCAGGCTCATCTCAAACTCTTGAGCTCAAGAGATCCTCCCGTCTACGCCTCCCAAAGCACGGGGATTACAGGCGTCAGCCACATAGGTAAATTCTTACTGAGTAAATTCAGGGGGCTGCCCTGGTGGAGGTGGACAGTTGGGTGCTCGACCTTCCAAAGGGCACAAAGGACCAATACGGTGGGAGCGGCGAGAACTGGGGCGGTAGAAGCCAGCCTCCTCCTCTGCCCTCGCTTTACCTATTGAAAATGGGCGAAGCGGATACTGCAGTCTAGATGCTTTATGCTTCTGAGATGCTTGTGCGTTGTCGGCGCTCCGCTTCCGGACTAAGTCGCCGGAATTGTCTGTACCGTGCTTTGCAGCTCACCGCCTCTCCCTTCTCAGGCTGTGATCCGCTTCCGCATTTTACTCGGTGCCTGCAGCGCTGGGAGGCGTTAACGCGCACGCTCGTGGCAATCTGGCCTGGGCCCAGCGCGCGGCCTGAAGACCGCGGGTGAGAGCTGCGTGGTTTCGAGGGGAGTGGCGGGTCGTGGGGGTCGCGGCCGTGGTTGGGACGGCCGGGGGTCTTGGCGAGAGCTTCGGGGCTCTCGTGGCATGCGGGGGTTTGGGCTGAGGACCGGCTGCTGGGGCCGGTCGGGCCTGTTGGGCCCGGGGCGGGTGGGGGACGCGTCTGGGCCGCCGTGACGCGGACGCCGAGCCCTGCACCGGGGAGCGGGAGGCGGAGGCGGGAGGCGGGAGGCGGGAGGCGGGGGCCAGGCGCCAGGCGACTCCTCCTCGTCGCGAACTCGGGATGACCTTGGCCAAGTCGCTTCAATCCCCCGAGCTGGCTCCTTCTTCTGTAAAATGCGAGTCATAGCCTTGTCTCCGGGATGGGCCGTGTGGACGCTCAGTGGCGGGAACGGCTGCAGAGCAGGCGGAGTCCCGGGCGCTTTGCCCGGCACGGCTCACCTGCGAAAGGGCTTCCACGGGGATCATTTTGTCAGCAGGCTTTGCGGGGGGACCTCGCATTGTTTATATTTAAAAACTCTGGAATATGACGGAGTACTTGCAGAATTTTTGTTTCTCATAATACCAGAGACTTGAAGGAAATGGAGCCCGAACTGGGATTCGCTTCCTCGAGGCCCGCGTTGCCCTGCCCTTTAGGGGTGCCCAGCGCTCTAGCTACGGACCCGGCTCTGTTCGCATTATCGTTAGAGGATGGTGTGAAGCAACAGAGATCCTTAGCTTCCGACAGATCCGTATTTGTGATTTCCTGTTTGCCAGAACCCTTCCTGCTCTCCTGGGAAGTTGTGCTGGCCTAGCAAGTTTAGTGTCTGTCCACCCGAGGTCTTTCTGAACCGTGGAGTTGGTGAGCTCTCCCGTTAGCGAATTTCAGTTTCGTAGAAATTGAATATGGGGCAACTCCTGGCACCATAGCTTATTTTTTGTTTGTTTTCCAGTCTTTCTAAGGTTCAATTCAGGTTTGGTTTTGTTTTGGGTGATGGTGTGGGACTCCATTAACCCTCGCCACCAAAGGTCTGCTGTGTAATGGATGCTCAATAGGAATGATAGTAGGCTACAAAAGTAAGCATGTTAGGTGGTGTCTACTGGGAGGAATTTAGAATATTGGAATTGACCTAAACTGAAACTTTTCACTACAGGTGACTAGCATGCAGATACCCATGCTCTGACTTTCTGTCCCTCCACTGACATGGCCCACCGGGGTGGGGAGAGGGACTTCCAGACTTCAGCTCGACGCATGGGCACCTCGCTGCTCTTCCAGCTTTCAGTGCACGAACGGGAGCTGGACCTGGTTTTTCTGGATCATAGCTATGCCAAGCCTTGGAGTGCCCACCCAGATGCCAGTAGTGCCCGCCCCACCCGCATGCTCTTTGTCACTCCCCGGCGGCAGCACGAAAGTACCATGTGAGTTTGGGCTTCTAAGGGCTGCTGCTCTCCTCACTGGGCAGTGATCAGATGGGAATTTAGAGAGGATTTTCTCGGGATTGACTGGGGGAGATTGTGTAAGGCATTTGGGTGTTAAATTCAGGCATCTCTTAAGCAGCATAAGGATAGCTGGCTTGATTGTGGACATCTCTAGGAGATATCTAACAAGAGTTAGGAAAGCAAGATGTGTAGAGGTAAAACAGACAGTTTATTCTACTTAGATAATAGGACTTGTGTGAAAAGGGGGAAAATCAAAGAGGGTTATTTAACTGGTGAAGAGAAAGACTGAAAAGTTGATTTTAAAAGATTACCACACAAGATAGGACTCCTTATCACAGTGTAGTGCTCTGGGTTATTTGACAGTGGCAACAATAGCCTTTTTATAGTCATGCATTTTGCTTTTCTTGGCTTCACATATAAAGGTTAGGAGCCAATTTCTAAGGTGTTGCTTTTTCTCTTTCCTTGTTAAGGAGCTGCTTATCCATGGGTTAATGTAAACCCTTCTTAGATCTAATGATATTTTCAACCAGCCTATGTTATAGGGCAAGGAAGTTTCATTAATTGACCACCTGATATGTGATACAGTTACCTTGGGTCTAAATAAACCTGTTTGCCAATTCTTTTTTACTTTAAGGCATTCTAATTATGTTTCAAGATGTGTTGACATATTCTGTTGTGGTGATCAAATCATGCCCTTAATAATTCTGTAAACTTTTGGAGAAGAGTTTTATCTGTTTGTTTTTAATCTGATCTAATGTTTAATCTTTCCTCAAGCACTAGTTTTAATTTTGTTGGGGGTTAGAACCACCGCCTTCCGAAATTAAGCCTTAATGACCTAATGAGTTAGAGATACCCCAATGTGTGTGTGTGTGTGTGTGTGTGTGTGTGTGTTTTTCGAGACGGAGTCTTGCTTTGTGGTCCAGGCTGGAGTGCAGTGGTGCGATCTTGGCTCACTGCAACTTCCACCTCCTGGGTTGAAGCGATTCTCCTGCCTCAGCCTCCCAAGTAGCTGAGCCTACAGGTGTGCACCACCACACCTGGCTAAGTTTGTTGTTGTTGTTTTTTTCCTTGAGACCAAGTTTCACTGTTTGTTCCCTAGGCTGGAGTGCCATGGTTTAATCTTGTTTCACTGCAACCTCTGCCTCCTGGGTTCAGTGTCTCAGCTCTTGAGTAGTTGGGATTACAGGCAGCTGCCACCACACCTGGCTAATTTTTGTATTTTTAATAGAGATGGGATTTCACCATGTTACCCAGGCTGGTCTCGAACTTCTGACCTCAGGCAGTCTGCCCACCCCAGCCTCCCAAAGTGCTGGGATTACAGTTATGAGCAGTTGGGCCCTGCCTGCTAAGTGTGTTTTAAACATATGCAAAGGTTGGGTGCGGTGGCTCACTCCTGTAATCCCAGCACTTTAGGAGACTGAGACGGATGGATCATGAGGTCAGGAGTTCGAGACCAGCCTGACCAACATGGTGAAACCCCGTCTCTACTAAAAATACAACAATTAGCCAGGCGTGGTGGCAGATGCCTGTAATCGCAACTACTTAAGAGGTTGAGGGAGGAGAATAGCTTAAACACAGGAAGCGGAGGTTGCAGTGAGCGGAGATCATGCCATTGCACTCCAGCCTGGGTGACAGAGTGAGACCTCATCTCAATAAATAAATAAATAAACATGCAGAATAGTGTTTTTTAATTTCATTTCCGAATGACTTTATAATTTTGTTGGCTTTTTGGTTGTACAGGATGTAAAAATCTGTAACTTTAGGCAATACTTTAACATATTCCTGATGCCTCTGGCCTAGGGCATAACTGAAAAGCTGCATTAAACAGTAGTTGAAGTCTTTTCCTTTTTGCTACATATTAGCTTCTTGCTGACATTAAAACTCCTGTGTCCGCATCTCATGACATTTTCTTCAAGTGAGATTCCATGGACTTGGTTTTTTTGTTTTTTTGGTACTTAGAAAATTGTTTCCTTTTATAATCTCTGTCTCCATATATAGGCCCTGAAAGTGAGAATTTGGCATGCTCTAAGAACTCTTTTAGGCCAGTGTGGCCATAATATAATAGCAGTAGGAGTATAAGTGGGAGGTAGGAAGAAGTTGGCAGAGGTTACCTTATGAAGGAATTTGATTCTAAGACTGGTGAGAAGTCATTGAAGGATCTTAAGCTAGGGGTTCAATTTCTACTTTATTTTTATTCTTTTTTCTTTTTGTTTTTTTTGTACAACAAAACAATTTATACTTTAAAAATATCATTTTGGATTTTTTCTGGAGTATATTAGAGTGCAGGAGTAGAACTTACAAGACCAACTGCAGGCTGCCGTTGTAGTGGACTGAGAAGGGCCAGAAGTCATGATATCTTGTGTAGGGCAGGAACAGTACAAATGGAGAAATCAGTTGGCCTTGAGATGTATTTCATAGGTAGAGTGAATAGGTCATTAGAATCTGCTATGGTGAATTGGAAGCCAGAGCAAGAACCCAGGTTAAAGGGAAAGGTAAAATTAGGATGACAGATTTCTGGCTTGAGCAACTGGGTGGTGCCATGATTTAGGAAAAACTAGGGGAGGATAGGTTTGTGATGGTGAAATCAAGAGTTCTCTTTTAGGTACATATATCCAAGTATCTAGTCCAACATCTGGCCTAGAGAAGATAATCAGCTCTTTCATCCATCACCAGATCTAGCTGCACACAATTTCACAATGATGTAATTATTTCAGTCTTTAGAAATGAATTCAGTAAGGTCACTTAGGTCAAAAAGTTAACATGAAGTTTGGTAGATAGCCAGTAGACCAGTTTGTTTGGTATAGTATTTGGGGTGACAGCGTTGGTCCATATCATAAAGTGGGGATAGACCCTCGGGGCACTAGGATTCATTCCCTCCCTCTCTCCCTCCCTTCCTCCCTCTTTTCCTTCCTCCCTCCCTTCCTTCCTCCCTTCCTCCCTTCCTTCTGATGGAGACTGTTGCCTGGGCGCGATCTCGGTTCACTGCAACCTCCGCCTCCCAGGTTTAAACGATTCTCCTGCCTCAGCCTCCTGAAGAGCTGGGATTACAGGCACCCGCCACCACGCCTGGCTGATTTGTATTTTTAGTAAAGACAGAGTTTCACCATGTTGGTCAGGCTGGTCTTGAACTCCTGACTTCAAGCAATCAACCTGCCTTGGCCTCCCAAAGTGCTGGGACAGGTGTGGCTGGATTTCATTTTAAAATGTGAAAGACATTTAGATGTTCATTTATAATTGTTTCTCTTCTAGGCTCTGTACAAAATGGGCTAAATAGCTAAGGCGAGTGCATTCCAGGTTATCTGTCCTAAATAATCATACAGAAAGGAAATCATAGACTTTGCAAGTATATATTAATAATTAACTCCCAGTTGACTTGCTAATGAAAAGAGAAAGTTTGCATGAATTTAAAACTCTAGACCAGCACTGTTTAACAGAACTCTTTAATAATAGAAATGTTCTATACCTGAGATGTTCAGCATGGTTACTGGTAGCCACATATATCTATTGAACACTTGAAATGTGGCTGATGTCACTGAGGAACTGATTCTTTTTTTTTTTTGAGACAGAGTCTCACTCGGTCATCCAGGCTGGAATGCACTGGCGCAGTCTTGGCTCACCGCAGCCTCCGCCTCCCAGGTCCAAACAATTCTTCTGCCTCAGCTTCCCAAGTAGCTGGAAATACAGATGGATGCCACCATACCTGGCTAATTTTTGTAGTTTTAGTAGAGACGGGGTTTTCAGCCAGGCTGGTCTCGAACTCCTGGTCTCAAGTGATCTGCCCGCCTTGGCCTCTCAAAGTGCTGGGATTACAGGTGTGAGCCACTATACCCAGACTGAATATTTAATTCTATTAAAATAAAATTTTTTTTTTTTTTGAGATGAGGTTTCTTGTCACCCAGGCTAGAGTGCAGTGGTGCGATCTCTACTCACTGCAACCGCCGCATCCCGGGCTCAGTTGATCCTCCCACCTCAGCCTCCCACGTAGCTGGGACCACAAACTAATTTTTGCATTTTTAGTAGAGATGGGGTTTCACCATTGTTGCCGACACTGGTCTTGAACTCGTGGGCTCAAGCATCCTGCCTGCCTTGGCTTCCCAGAGTGTTGGGATTACAGGAGTGAGCCCTGTGCCCAGTAATTAATTTTATTAATTTAAATTTAAGTAGTCATGTGTTGCTTATTACTACTGTATTGGACAGTGTCTAGGCAATCAACTTGTTAGCCACTTTTCTGCATGTAACTACTGTATTGGACAGTGTCTAGGCAATCAACTTGTTAGCCACTTTTCTGCATTTGTGCTTTTCCTGTCCCTAAACAAGCTATCATGATTTCTGGCCCATCTCAGTCAACTGCAATGACCGCCTAGCTGGCCTTCTAAATTCTACTCCTGAACTATAGTCTACTCAACAAAAATTGAAAGTGATCTTTAAAAAATATTAGCTTGAGTCAGATCAACTTGCTTATGGAATATATTTGTTCTTTTTTTGAGACTGGGTCTTGCTCTGTCACCCCCAAGCTGGAGTGCAGTGGCACGATCACAGCTGACTGTACCCTCAACCCCCTGAGCTCAAGCAAGCGATCCTCTTACCTCATCTTCCTGACTAGCTGTGACTACGAGCACACACCACCATGCCTGACTAATTTTGTGTTTGTTGTAGGACAGGGTTTTGCCATGTTGCCAAACTGGACTTGAACTTCTGGGCTTTAAGCGATCCTCCTGCTTCAGCCTCTCAAAGTGCTGGGATTACAGGTGTGAATCACTGTGCCTGGCCATATTTGTCATTTATCTATTTATTTGTTTATTTTTGAGACCAGGTCTTGCTCTGTCACCTAGGCTGGAGTGGAGTGCAGTGCAGTCATAGCTCACTGCAGCCTTGAATTCCCAGGCTCCAGCAATCCTCCCACCTCAGCCTCCTTAGTAGCTGGGACCAGCTGATTTTTGTATTTTTGGTAGAGACAGGGTTTTCTTGTGTTGCCCAGGCTGGTCTCAAACTCTTGAATTCAAGTATTCCACCTGCCTTGGCTTCCCAAGATGGTGATATTACAGGTGTGAGCCATTGCACCTGGCCCATATTTATCTTCTTTATCATTTTTTATGTAGACTCATTTTAAAAATGACTTTGTGTTCTTCCAGTACATACCATCATGTCTGAGAGGGCAGAGATCTAGACAAGTGTGGGAAAGATGACTTTGGATCAAAATTATCTTGTGAATATAATGTGCTTATGCATAATTTAAAGCTGACTGTATTAAAGATACATTTTTTGTCAACCAGATGATTGTTAAATACCTGTGAAGTATGTGTGGCCCGGTCCTATTTCCTCACCTGTTTACAGTGAATCAGACATCCCAATAGATGTGGAGACTGTCACGTCAACCCCTGTGCCACTCTATGACAATCAGAAGGCACGCAGCGTGATGAATGAGTGTGAACGGCATGTCATCTTCGCCAGGACTGATGCAGATGCCCCTCCCCCACCAGAGGACTGGGAGGAGCATGTCAACAGGTAGGCTGCTCATCAGGAGGATGGTCACTGCTCTGTAATTATTTTGTATCATCTTCATTGAAGTACATTTATTAGGAGCTTATTTCATTTGCAGCAACACATGTCAGAGTGTTCTCCAAAGTCTCACATTATAACTCTCAGTTCACCATGCTGTGTGTGAGATGCTTGAGAGCAGGGCTTACATCTCAGCCATCTTTGCATACTTTACACTAGGACATTGTCTGGCACACAGTAGGCATATAATAAATGTTGAATAAATAAGTAAATTTGATAGCTATGACTAGCTCTCTAGTAGCTTCTGTTATATAAATTATGATATAGGGGTCACCCAAACTACAAAAAAATGAAATGTACATTTGTAAGATATTGTATTTAAATGGTTTATAACTAGGATGAGGAAAGTGTTGTGAAGTCATATGAAAAGCTAAGATGTTTGAGTACCTTTTAAAAATAGATTTGCAGTCTATGGAGGGCACACTGAAGCCTGTTTTTATGAGTTTACTGGCTAATTTTGTTCCCAAACTTTCTACTGCCCCCAGGGTCATTTGTCCCTGTTCATTTGGTAAACATTTACCTAATCATATGACAACTTTTTGGAGATACTATTTATATACCATACAATTGAACTATTTAATGTGTATAGTCAGTGGTTTTTAGTACAGTCAGACTTGTATATTCATCACAACTGTCAATTTGGTAACATTTTCATCACCCTGAAAAGAAACCCCATACCCATTAACAGTTATTCCCCATTCTCTGGTCCCTAGGAAGCACTCATTGACCTTTGTCCCTATAGATTTGCCTATTCTGGACATTTCATGTATATAGAATCATGTACTATGTGGTCTTTTCCTACTGGCTGCTTTCACCCAGCATGATGTTTTCAAGGTTCATCCATGTGGTTGCGTGTATCAGCACTTCATTCCTTTTTATTGCTAAATGATACTGCATTGTATGAATAGCCCACATTTTATTCATTAATCAGTTGATGGATATTTAGGTTGTTTTCATTTTTTGGCAATTATGAATAATACTGTTATGAACATTTGCGTACAAGTTTTTGTGTGGATCTAAGATTTTAATTCTCTTAGCTATATACCTGGGAGTGGACTTGTTGGGTCATTTGATAACTCTGAATTTAACCTTTGAGGAATTGGCAGACTGTTATGCAAAGTGGCTGTACCATTTTACATTCCTACCAGCTGTGTATGAGAGTTCTAGTTTCTCCACATCCTTGCCAGCATGCCAACACTTACTAATTTTCCTCCCTTTTTTTGAGATGGAGTCTCGCTTTGACACCAGGCTGGAGTGGTGCAGTGGTGCACTCTTGGCTCACTGCAACCCTCCTGGTTCAACTAACTCTTCCGCCTCAGCCTCCCGAGTAGCTGAGACTACAAGCGCACACCACTACACATGGCTAATTTTTGTATTTTTTAGTAGAGACAGGGTTTCGCCATGTTGGTCAAGATGGTCTTGATCTCTTGACCTCGTGTTCCACCTGCCTTGGCCTCCCAAAGTGCTGAGATTACAGACGTGAGCCACCGCACCCGGCCCTCTTCTTTTTTTAAAAATTATAACCATTCTCCTGGGTATAAAGTGGCATCTCATTGTGGTTTCAATTTGTATTTTCTTGATGGGTTTTTGTTTGTGTCTGTATATCTGCTATATATAAGGAAATGTTACTTCTTACATCAGGAATTGGTAGGTGGTTACTTTCCATAATTTTGGAGACCGCATATGATAATGAAAGAGAGAGAGAGAGGGGCAGAAAGTTTGAGGTGATTGACATAATTTCTGCTGGTTGGAAGTTGGGAATGAGATTGAACAGGTATGCTTGTGTGATCAAAACAGCAGCTGTTGAGGTAGGAGCAGTGCTGCACCTTGGTTGAAAAGCTTGTGAAGAAGTTGGTTGGGGTCTTGCACTGGAATTAATTTAGTGCCTTAAGCTCTTTTGAGCTTCAGATAAAGAAATAAACTGCTATGAATGAAGATCAACTACTGAAATATTGCTGGAGTCAGTATATTCAGCAAAAGAGTTTATCAGCATTGCTACAGTTAATAATCATAAAAATTAACAATAATGATAATAACAAAAAGGAGCTACCATTTGTTGAGTGCTTTCTAGGTGCCAGACATTTTACCAAGCTCTTCATATGCATTGTCTCTTAATCCTCCCAGTGACTCTTGGAGATATATCTCCGCTTCATCTCTGTTTAACAGGATGAAGAAACTGAGGTCAGGGTGTTTAAGAAACCTTAATTAGGAAGTGATGGAGAAGGAGTTTGTTCAAACTAAACAATCTGACTCCAGAACCCAGTGTTCTCAACCACCATACCTTCTCCCTTAATTAAGGGCAGTAAAAAGAGATTAAGACCAGTTAGTGGTGGCTGATCAAGGTGGCCTTGTATGGTTATGATCCCTTTGTGGTATTTTCCACTACCTTGTCCTTTGCAATTTCAGAAAGTACATAGGAGAACTTTGTGATTTTTGTTGTTGTTGTTAGTTCATCCATGGTTATAATTAAGAGGTTTTTGTGGACGATTCATGCCTATCAAAGTCATTAGAGACTTAATACTATGAATACCAGTTTCTTTTTTTTTTTTTAAATTTTATTTTTGAGACAGAGTCTAACTGTCACCTGGACTGGAGTGCAGTGGTACAATCTCAGCTCACTGTAAGCCTTGACATCCAGGACTCAGGTGATTCTCCCACCTTGGACTCCTGAGTAGTAGCTGGGACTGCAGGAGTACACCACCATTTCTGGCTAATTTTTGTAGTTTTTATGGAGATTGGGTTTTGCCATTTTGCTTAGACTTGTCTCAAACTCCTGGCTTAAGTGATCTGCCCACCTTGGCCTCCCAAAGTGTTGGGATTACAGGCGTGAGCCACTGCGCCCAACCCCGAGTTTCTTAATTTATGAGGAGAGATATAACTGCAAAGCATAAGAGACACTGAGGTGGCCTGGCCAGAGTGTCTTTTCTCAGCAGGAAAGTCTGGAAAACCATTTTATTTCAGAAGTGGATAGGTGAGTGGAGAGTCTACATAGGAGGCACAGCAGAATAGCTGGATGTGCACATCTTTCCTCTAGGCAAGATGGGCCCACAGAATAGGCCAGGGTGCCCCTTCTCCTGCCTGTCCTTTACAGAAACACTGACAGATTCTTATCTTTGGCTTATCTTTCTCCAGTCTCCATGTGGACCACCATTTTTCTGTTATGACAAAATTATACCAATCTGTTGCCACAGATTGGTATAATTCATTAAAGCTCAGTTTATCTCAGATTTTTTTTTAGTGTCTGATGAGATTTTGGAGGCCTTCTTTTCTCATGGGCAGCAGGCTTACAAACCATCTTCTGGTAGGTAACTTTTGCACACAGCTGATTTTATTATTTGATGATAACTTATTAGCTTCAGTTTCAGAGATCACCATTTTATGACCCTGTCTCTGAATCTGTAGCCTGTTCGAAGCTTGCAGTTCCTTCTGCTCTGATTATAATCATCATGTTGCCATTCTTTCCCTGACTTGACTGTTAAATTGCTGCTTCCTTTCTTCATGTATAAAGTCATGTAAAATTACTTTCCCACATCAAGAATTACATGAATGGTATAGGTTGGCTCCCTAGAACTCTGGAGGTTTTCCCGGGAGAGCTTACTGATTGCTCTTTGTCTATGGAGGCAGAACCTTAATTTCCTTGTTAAGAGCCTTTTTTCCTCCTCCTTGAATGACTGCAGTAGAAACTGTCTTCAGATAACTGTGTGTATAGGCCAAGCGTGGTAGCTTACGCCTGTAATCCCAGCTCTTTGCAAGGCCAAGGCGGGAGGATCATTTGAGGTCAGGAGTTTGTAACCAGCTTGACCAACGTGCTAAAAACCCGTCTCTATTAAAAATAGTAAAAATTAGCTGGGCGTGGTGGTGAACACCTGTAATCTCAGCTACTTGGGAGGCTAAGGCAGGAGAAGCACTTGAACCTGGGAGGCAGAGGTTGCAGTAAGCCAAGATCATGCCACTACACTCCAGCCTGTGCGACAGAGTGAAACTCCATCTCAAAAAAAAAAGAAGCATGCTTGTCCCTTCCCTGCCTCCAACTCTGGCTTTCTCTGTTAATGGCTGATATTTTGTGAAATGGTTTAAATATTGCTGCCTGATTTGTATTTAGGGGTTGTCTAACTACGACTGTGAGCAAATTTAAATCTGGCCCATTGCTTGTTTTTGTTGGAATGGGTTTTACGTTTTTAAGTGGTTGCAAATAATTAATACTATTTCATGACACATGAAATTAAAATTTCAGTGTTCATAAACATTTATTGGTATACAGTCAAACTCATTCATTAGGTATTATCCATGGCCACTTTTGCACTAAAACTGCAAAGTTCAGTAGTGGCAGAAACTGTATGTCCTGCAAACCCTAAAATATTTTCTGTCTGGCCTCTTATAGGAGAAGTGAGCTGACCGGGTCATGTTCTTATGTCTGTGTGCCATGGTCATGTTACTTACAGGACCTTTGAAAATGATTTCTATTTGCTGGAATAGTAATACAGTCCTGAAGATGTTGGGCTGCTTTTTTTTTTTTCCTCCAGATGTTTGTGAAATGCCAAGTTTCATTAGTTGCATAGTTTTTGAAAGACATTTAATAAAATTCTCCTGACACATGATACTTCTCAGCATTGCTCAAATGGATTTTAGAACATTTCCAACATTTCAGTGAAAGAACGTAGTGTCCGAAAGCAGGCTTTCTCATCTTAGAAATCAGAACTTCTGAATTCCAGCCAAAACACCCCATTTTCCTTTTCTGAACTTGATTTAATTATATATTCAATATTGTATGTATCTATGTATAAATCTTAGGTTGGATGTTTGAAATTTTAAGTCCAAGGTCTTTGAGTTATATTCCCTCCTTCCCCTCCCCCACCATATGGCAGAAACCATATGGCCTGCAAACCCTAAAATATTTTCTATAAAATATTTTCTCTTTCTTTCCCCTTCCTTTATTCCTTTCTTTC